CCCCCCCCCAACCCCCAACCCCTTTGCGACCCGCAACAGGGTTCACAGATAACACAGCAGGGCCAGGCAGCGTCGCAGGAGCAGGAAAGCTGATGTTTTCGGGGTCGGGACCCTTCTTCAGTCCCTTGCTGCCTGAACCGCTGTGTTCCTCCAGCTCTGCACTGTCCTAGTATCTCTGACAGGGTTCAGGACGCATTTACCAGGATGCTGCCGGGAAACGGAGGGTTCGAGTTATGAGGACGGGGCTGGATAAGGCTGGGAGCTGTTTCCTCTGGAGCGTAGGAGGCTGAGGAGGTGACTTTATAGAGATTTATAAAGTCATGAGGGGTGTGAATAAGGTGAATGGCAGGTGCCTTTTCCCCTAGGGGTGGGGGGGTGGGGGGGTTGGGATTTACAAAACTAGTGGGACATATTATTGAGGCGAAAAGGAGAAAGATTTAAAAAGGACCTGAGGGGCTTTTTTTTTTTCACACAGAGGGTGGTTCGTGCGTAGGATGAGCTTCCAGAGGACGTGGTGGATGTGGGGACAGTTACAACATTATTTGGGAAAAGTACATGGATAGGGAAAGGTTTGGAGGGATATGGGCCCAGGAGCAGGCAGGTGGGGACTGGTTTAGTTTGGGATGAGGGTTGGCACGGACTGTTTGGGCCGAAGGGTCTGTTTCCGTGCCGTCTGACTCTCTGTGGCCTCACCAAGACCCTATTTAAAATGAAGGAGAGGCCTATCACTTGGGGATCGATTCTTCTCGTGATCTAAGGGCAGCTGGTGGCGTGTTGTTTGTACCTTCAGGACGGACACGGTGCTGAAGTTCAGATGTTTGTCCTGATAATAGTTTGACGTCTGGGGGAGAAGGTGTGGGGGTGTGGGGGTGGGGGGCACCTCTGTTCTGCAGGCCCAGTGGTTCCGGAGCTGGCCCTGACTGAGGAGCGTTCTGTGATTTACCACAGCACCCACCTGAGGTGCGGATCAGGCCACCTACCTCCGCCCTGGGGATCGGGCCTGCCCGGGCCCGCAGCGAGAGAATGCAGCGAGTGAGGGTCGAGCTCCCGCAGGTACCCAATCAGGAATTCGGCATGGCGAGGGTCAGAGGGGTCGGCAGCTTCCCGAAGCTGAGGGGAGACAGCAAGGTCAGTCTGTCCGAGTTAAGGGGGAGGGGGTTGGTCCATACAGGCCGCACCCCCCGTCCCCGTCCATGCAGGCCGCAACCCCATCCCCGTCGATACAGGCCGCACCTCCATCCCCGTCGATACAGGCCGCACCCCCATCCCCGTCGCTACAGGCCGCACCCCCATTCCCGACGATACAGGCCGCACCCCAATCCCCGACCATACAGGCCGCACCCCCATCCCCGTCCATAGAGGCCTCACCCCCGTCCCCGTCCATGCAGGCCGCACCCACTCCGAGCTCCAGCCATCGTTACACCCCCGTGCCCCTCTCTCCTCCCATTGCCACACCACCACCTGTGTGACTCACACGCCAGCAACCAGCCTTACATCCCACACCTGCATCCCCGTCACACCGGGCCAGGCTCCGAGCCCAGTCCCACAAGCCCACCCGCACCTCCCCCTGCCCCCACAAACCCGTACCTCTTCGAAGCGCAGCCTGGGCAGGGTGCCATCCAAACGCAGCAAGTACTCCCACAGCAGCTTCTGCAGCACGGTCAGAAATTCCTCTCCGTACTGCTTCGGCATCTCGTCCTGTCAAACAGAGGGAGCCCGTCACTGCGGCCCGCATTGCCATAGCGCCCGGTGGCGTGCACAGCCCCACACCATCCAGGAGAATGCACCACATCCACAATCACGCACTCCCAACGCTCAACCCCCTCCCCCCACCCCACTATCAACATCCTGGGGGGGGTTCCCATTGACCAGAAACTGACCATGGACCGGCCCCACGTAAACACAGGGGCTACAGGAGCAGGTCAGAGGCTGGGAATCCTGCAGCGAGTCACTCCCCTCCTGCCTCCCCACCACCACCATCGACCCAGCACAAGGCAGGAGGGTGATGGGATACTCCCCACTTGCCCCTGGATGGGGGGCAGCTCCGACAACACTCGAGAAGCTCCACACCGTCCAGGGACAGAGCAGCTCCCCACTCCCGCTCGACTGGCTCCACATCCACAAACACCCGCTCCCCTCGCCCACCGCTCAGGCACAGCCGCAGCAGTGTGTACCATCTGCAAGATGCCCTGCAGAGACTCACCGTGCACATGAGAGAGCGTGCGAGTGAGAGAGTGTGCGAGAGACAGCGTGCGCGCGAGAGACACAGCATGCGCGTGAGAGAGAGTGCGCGCGCGAGACAGCGTGCGAAAGACAGACCGTGTGTGCGAGAGAGCGCGCGCGAGAGAGAGACAGCGTGCGTGAGAGAGAGACAGAGTGTGCGCGAGAGGGAGTGTGTTTGGATGTGGCCTGCAGAGTCTAGGACGAAGGCAGAATAGAAAAGCAAAGCAGAACTCTTAAGTTGAGAGCAGTGGGTCAAACCACGAAACCCAACCATCCAAGTTTTAATCGTTATTAATGTTTTCTTTCACGGGGTGGGGGGGTTTCGAAGAAGGTGGGAGACAGCTGCCTGGCGACAACGTTACAGGATTACGT